TAAGTATGTCTCTCTTGTACTTTGCTCTTTCTCTGCGGAATGATTCCAGGACATGTTGCTTTTCCTGTTCATCTGTACATGTACGAATACGTCTTCTTAAGGCCCGGCATTTCTGTCGCTGGGCTCTTAGGTCTTTCTTCCACCATGAAATACTTTTGATTTTCTTTGCGGTACGTACAGGTAGAAGTTAGCTGCATGCACCTTGTAGTGTGGATATTAAATCATCTGTGAATTCTTCAATTGCCTCTTCTGTTTCTGTTGTAGCAAGTCTTGCATTTTTCTCTCGGAGTAGGTCTTTGAACGATGCTGTAAGCTGTCGGATTTTGTTGCCAGGTATTTTAAACCTTTTTAGCATTGAGATGGTGGTTTCTTGGGTAATTGTAAATTGTATATATTTATGATCAGAGCAGCTGTAGGCGTCGCTTACTTTCCAATCCGTGATGTCATGTGCGATGGCTCCTGTGGCTATGGTGAGATCTGGCTATCCTTTGCTATAACTGTTATCAAATGTTGCTGGGGCTCCCTGCTCATTTAGTATTTGGAGCATGTTTCCTACAATGAAATCTTCTAGGGTGGTGCCTTTCGGATTGGTTTGAAGGTAACCCCATAGAATGTTATGAGCATTTAAGTCGCCGCCTATAATATGCTCCGTTCTTGAGCAGGTTTGGTTGACCTGGGTTGTTAATTGGAAAAAGTACTCTAGTGTATCTGTGGGTGCTGAGTACGCTGACGTGATGAGCAACTGGGAGTTGAGGAAGACTAGCAGTATAGAGACAAAGTCTCTTTCCATCTTGACTACCAGCGGAGTCCAGGTCGGGTTGATACATATGATTGCTGCCCGCGGTGCCTGATTATTCTCCTTGTCTATCTTCTGGTAGGTCTTCCATCCTATCGGAAAACTGGCTACTTTCCCTTCCCTTGTATAAGGTTCCTGTATTAGCAGGATGTCTGCGTTGGTCTCCGTGGCGTGTTGAACTGCCTGGGATGCAGCTGCTTCAGCTCTTTGGAGATTAATTTGGAGGACCCGGATAGCTTGCTGTGGTGTGGTGGACAGCTGGTTTCTGCCCGTTTCGTCTGTTATTGATGGCCTAGTGATACACTGTGCTCCTTCTGATACGATGAACGTATCGTTGATATGTAGGGCAGGTTGTTGCGTATGCTGGGTGGGCACATGGTATGCTGCTGCGTGTTCTATAGTTGAATTCTGCGCAGTTGATGCATTGTGGCTGTCTGGCTCTGCACTCCTTGATGTTGTTTTTCCCCGAGCAGTAGGCACAGTGTTTACTGTTCTGACAGTCCTTTTGTGTGTGCCCAAGCTCCTGACAGTTGAAACACCTTCTTGTGTTGTAGTACTCTGATATTCTGTGCGACCTCCATCCAAGGCACAGTCTGGGACGTCTGGTGAACTGCTCGAAGACTTCGGGCTTACATTGTAGAATCCATTTGGCTCCATTTGTGCCTTCTTTCAGGCGATGTAATACCTGTACTGAAGGGTGCTCCAAGTTAAATTCGGTGCGTAGGGCACTATGTCCTCTTTTTCTATGTCCAGTGGGACGTTGTGTATGGCAAGTCGAGGTTGTCTGGCAGCTGGTTGTTTTACTTGTATAATTTCTTGTCCCTGCTCACTTTGGAAGGCTTTCGTGAGCTTAGTGATATCTTCTTGAGTTGGGCAGTCAATGGCTAACCCTCCTTTCTGTATTTCGCGAATTGAGGTAACCTTGACTCCTAGTGCAGGGAGCGGGAAATGCTCGTTTAAGTTGCTTTTTATATCTTTAGCTTTGCCTTTTTGGCTATCCGCTGGGTAAACGAACACCGTGTGGGTTGTTGCTTTGGCAGCTGCTTGTGCGTAAATAAATTGCTTTACCTCTCGAACTGACGCTGTAGGTGCTGAATGTTGTGTGTTGGAGGCTACAGGAGATGATGCTATCTGTATTTGTGCAAGCTTCCAGCGTTGCTGGGGGAGGCACGTAATTTGGACCTTCTTTCGCTACTGACTGCAGAGCGTCTAAAAGTTCTAATAGTGTTGTTCTCACGTCTGCAGGTAAGAGGTTACGGCCGCCTCTTTGAGATAGTGAGGGCATAAGGAGAGCTGCCCTAAGTTGGTCTATTTTACTTTTATAGTCAGTGTCCGAGCTAACTAAGTCTGCTGGTACAAAGTCACAAAAAATTGCTGCTGTCGCCCTCTGAGATCGAGGGTTGACTTTCGAGACATATTCTGTATTTAAGTCTTATAATTATATTGTATATGTATATAAATATTCCTAAAATAATGTAGTTACAAACAAAAAATCATACTTATTATTGAACAACACTTAATTCCAGTCGTTTTGAGTACCAGTTATTTACAATTATGTCAATGAAACAGGTAATTGGAACAGGTGAAGCTAGATCCCTCTAAGTCATTATGGGGGTGCGGTGGGAGGGGAAAGAAGGGGGTGTGAGGGGGAGGGGGAAGTGTTGAAAGATAGAGGATGGGTAGGGGAACGAAGAGGAAGAGGAACGGGGAGTCTGGGGGTAAAAGGACTGGAGAAATCAAAGAAATAAAATTAGTTTAAAAAAAAAGGGGGAGAGAAGGGGGGAGTGAGGAAGAAGAGCGGAGTGTTGTTAGAAAGAGAGAATGTTGCTGAGTGGAATGAAGGAAAAATGAGGGGTTTAGGGGCAATGGGGGTTGAGAAAACAGAGAAATAAAATTGGATTAAAACAGGGGGAAGGAAGGGGGTAGTGAGGGAAAAGAAAGGGGTGTTGTTAGAAAGAGGAAGTTAAACTGAGAAGAAAGACTGTTGAATGAAGAGTCTAGGTTAATTAGAAGAGGAGTTATTAGAGAAATAAAAAGTGGGGAAGCGGATTAAAAAGGGGGAAAGAAGGGGTCGTTGGGCTTGTAAGTTGGTTAACTATATGTTATATATCAAACGAAAGGGAATAAAGAGTACAGTGTGAAAAATTTAGTTAGAGTGTTGTGAGATCGAATGGGGGGAGAAAATTGAGAAATAAAACGAAATTAAGGCTAATTAAACGTAATTAAAATGGAGATATCTTGAAAAGTTATTAGGTTAGCGAGGTAAGGATTATAGTTTCTTAAATAGGATGAGAAAAGGAACCTGTGTATATAATTTGGGGGGGCCTAGCTACAAATTAAAAAATTGGGGGGACTTAAAAATGAGAAAGTTTAAAAAGTGAATATAAGTATGGGGTTTCAACCGACAAAATTTTCCATTAAAAAGTGGGGTCTGGACTTAGAAAAATCTAGACATCATCAGGTATAGACTAGCACTAATAATATACCATTGAATGCCTAATAAAACATACAACATGGACGCTGGAATATTGAGGTGTTGAGCCAGAAGGCCTGACCCTGTGGAGCTGCAAGGGATGGGATAAACAGGGGGAGTGAACAGTCACTCAAAAGTTGGACTTAGAAAAATACATTAATGTTTACATAGTTACAATGTTAAATTCCATAGAGAATACAAAATTTGAAATATTGCAATGAGCGGTAAACAAAAATTTTACACTTATAGATTACATAAAATTGAACAAAATACTCTTTAAAGCATAAATATAGCTAAATTAGGTAAAAAGTTATTGATTTTATAAAAGAAATACAGAATTAAAACTGACCAATATTTAACGCTGGCGTTACTGAAAATGTTTTAAGTCCTGATATCAAAACTTTAAAAATTTAGATTTGAGCAAAAACATAGATGTTAATTGGTAGAGGATAAAAATCCTACCTCAACGTCCCCTAGATGGTGTTGCTGCGCTGAGTAGATCCAGAGATATGGATAAATTTAACACTTTTTAAAACGCACAAATCAGAGAAAACACAGGCCTACTACGGTCACCACGTGGTAGTCAGGCGGGAGCCTTACGTCGGGCAGACGGCATGCAAGGTGAACAGGAGTGACGTCAGTTTGCGGCTGCTTGGAATCCTTTGTTTTTCACCACTAAATTATTAACAACACTAGAACCGTTGGTCACACACACAAAAACTTGGTATCCACGTATTCAGGTTAACTTCGCGCACACGATGATACTAAGGTCGCTGTTGGTAAGCCAACTTTACAGGGTGTTGTACTTGCTTTTGTGGGAGCGCGACGAAAACACGTCCTACACGTTCGGTGGTCGGTCCTCAAGTGGTTGCTCTAGACAGGACAGGATAAAGTGTGGGAGGCACCTGTACATCGCCATTGGCAGATCAGGTATTGCCCCGTCACACTAGCCATCTAGAGAAACAACACCCCGTAGGGTATCTAAGCGCCACGCCTGACGCCGAATGGTAAGTGTGCATTGATGGTAACTGCAAGAGCGGCCCGCCGGGCACCCCCACCCGACAGCCGACCCCCAGCCACGCAAGCCCCCCCCACAAGTCAAAGGTCAAGAATAGGCATTGAAGGTGCACTCCGTTCATTCGCCCACCGAACCAAAATCCTCGTTCGTAGCGTCTCATTTGGTTGCTCCGGGGGAATTTATTGATCTTTTCAATAGAGGAGATACATGAGTTTACATGGTGATGTACATTCCAGAAGGATAAAGTAAAATTAAAAATTATAAATATAAAAAATAAAATAAAATTATTTACAATAGGTTACATGATGTTGTACATTGCAGATCAACGTTCGTATTACAGTGGATGACATCAAGAAATTGATGAGGTGTTGATAGATTGGTGATTATTTGATTGGTTATTGATTATTGATGGGATTGATTGGTTATTATTATTGATGGGAGTGAAGTAACATATAACATATAACATAACATAAAATATTCTGAAATATATACAGAGGGCTACATGTTGGTGAACAATGCAGGGTAAGGAAGTTAGAGGGCAGTTGTGAAATTCATGAGGGTTTTTGAAAGTGAAATCGTTAAGTCGTATTAACTTTTGTGATTATCAGGGAATGGTGTGAGAGGGTGGAGGGCACTGTTTGGGAGTGATGCTTGGCAGGTATTGATGAGGGCTGTTTTCCTCTGATTGAATGATGTCTATTGCGAGGGGATCTTCACGGATGGCACAAGTCCAATCCTGCTTGATGGAGATAGTCTATTATCCGTTTTATTTGCTTGAATACTGGTGGATGCTTGAGGAGAAACCGTGTAAATTCTGTGCCAGGTTCAGTTGGATGTTTTGTGTGTATGGTGCTGGTGAGAGTGCAGTGGAAGAGGTAGTGTTCTGCGTCGCCTGTTGTACCGCATGCGCATGTATCTGTATTTGAGAGGTTTCTTGCTTTGAAGTAGGTAGGGAACGGTCCGTGTCCTGTTATGAACTGAGTTAGGTAGTACTTTGTTTCCAGCCTGTCTTCGTCAATTTTGGGAAATAATCCATGTGTTCTTCGTCCTTGTTCCTGTATATTCCAGTTTTGTTGCCAGTGTTGAAGTGCTTGTTGATGGAGTTGTTGTTTGAGGTAAGAGCGTGGCCAGGGGATTGAGATAGTAGGTCCGAGACATTCTTGTGCTGCTTGTTTTGCTAATTCATCGGCCCTGTTGTTTCCGTCACAAGTGCTGTGGCCCTTGGTCCATGATATTATATGGTTCTTGTGGCTGTTGCAAATGGTATTTCTTATTTGCTGGGCAAGGGGAGATTTGTTGTCTTCGTTCTTGATTGCTTGTATGGATGACTGGCTGTCACTTACTATGTGGATTGTATCCGTGGGGAGGTCGGTGAAAAGGTTGATTGCTTGAAGGATTGCTGTCGTTTCTGCTTGGTGTACACTATTGTTTTGGTGAAGATGGCTTTGCCATTTGAGTTCTTCTCCTGAGGGTAGTTGGATGGTAGCTGCTGCTCCAACTTTGTTGTCTATTTTAGAGCCATCGGTAAATGCTGTGAGTGCGGTATGTGGCGGAGGATTATTGATAGTACAGTGGATGGTGACAGTATTGATGAGCTGTGGATTCATAGTTTTCTGGAATGTATGTTGAGTCTCGGTAGATGGCTGGTCTTTTAAGTTGTAGGACTGTCACTTTGGCTGCTTCAGTTTCAGCTATTAGTGGTAGTGGTAGTGTTCCCGTTAGTATTTGAAGAGCATTGGTTGAAGTGGTTGAGAAGGCTCTTGTTATGTTCAGAAGGAAGGGGCGCTGAATGGAATTTAGTATTCTTTCTTTGCGTTTAGTCATAGGTTGTGCCCATATGGCCGCTCCATAGGTTATGGTAGGATTGATTACTGTGGTGAGTAGGAGTTTTTGGATCCGGGCGTTTAGACCCCAGTTATACCTCGCATTCTCTTCATGGCTATTGCTATTTGGTTTGTTGTTACTTTTTTGGTTCTCAGGTGTTCTATCCAGTTTAACTTTTGATCGATTAGTAATCCAAGATATTTTACTGTTTTTACACATTTTATTTTCTGGTCTTCTATTTTTATTATGGGGTTACGAGTAATCGGTCTTCTGGGTTTATGAAATATGATGGCTTGACTTTTGCTGTGGGAGATTTGAAGTTTGATTTTCTTGCACATTTCGTTGAAAATGCTTAGGGTGGTATTGTTCTGTAAGTGGTCTCGGGTGGTGCCGTGTACAATGAAAGCGACATCGTCTGCAAAGGCGACTATTTTTGTATGGTTTGGCCATTCATGTTCATATAGTTGAATGTAATATTCCATAGGTCCGCATACTCATGCACGACCCTTGGGGGCATCCTCTTGACTGGTCTTTGGCGACTATTGTATTGTTGACGAGGACTAGACTTTTTCTTTGGTGGAGGTAATCAGAGGTTAGTTGAAAGAGATTGTTAGGACATTGCATCTCTCTGAGGGCATCTTTGATTGCTGGCCACCAGAGAGAGTCGAAGGCATTCTGCAGGTCTAAGCACAGGAGAGCTGAGTGCATGTTTTGTTGCTTGTTAGATTCTATTGCATTTATGACGTATTTTATGGCATGAGTTGTTGAACTATTGGGTTTAAATCCAAATTGTTGAGAGCTGATCCTGTGGTCTTGTATATATGAAATTTGATACGGGAGATGAGGAGTCTCTAGTAGCTTTCCTATTGCTGGAAGAAGGTTTATGGGTCGGTATGAGCGCGGGTCTTGTGGGTTGCGATTCGTTTTGGTGAATAGGATGATTTGACCTACTTTAAAATATGTTGGAAAACATGATAGGTCTAAGCATTTGTTGAAGAAAATTTGGAGAAATTCTGGAGTTTCTTTGCAAAGAATTTTGATGAGGGTGTTGGAAATTCCATCTGCACCAGGTGCTTTTTTGTTATTTAGTTTTCGTGCATGCCTTTGAATTTCATAAGTGGTGAAAGGACAGTCATTTAGTGTATCTGGGGGAGCAGCGTTATTTCGAATTAGTATTTGTTTTGGAGTATCTTGTTCATGGTCGTCACTTGGGAAAATGTGGTTCATGATGTCATTCAGAGTTATGTTGGAGATGTTTTGGTTCTGTATCGATTGCATTCTTGATGTTTGATGGATTTGCGTAGGGCTGTAGATTTTAGATGTTGCCATCTTGTACAAGGGGCCATATGGATCTTGGTTGTTTGAACAGTATGTACTCCATGATTTTAGTTTGGCGTTTAGAATTTGCTGTTTGTAAAGGGCGCGTTGCTTGTTGTACTCTATCCATGCTGTTTTTCTATCTTCTGTTGTTCGTGTTTTTATGCGACGTCTTAGGGCACGTGTCTTTTGGCGGGTCGTTCGGAGTTCTTTGGTCCACCAATTGGTATGGGTTGATGAATTTACATTTCTTGGTCTTAGGGTCTGGTGACAGATTTCTTGAATTTGTAAGAGGATGTCGTCTGTGGTTGAGTTGAGTTCTTCCTTTGTGGAGCAGGCTGTTATTTTTTGCATAAAATCTGTTTCTTTTGTCTTGATGGCTCTTGCGAATTTTCTGGCTGCTTACTGATTGATGTTGTATCGTTGAGTGTGAAGGTGGTCTACTACTTGTTGGATTTCGTATGAAATATAATTGTGATCTGAGTTCGAGTGGTCGTCTAGTATCCTTCTGTTTTGGAGTTTGGTTGCAAGATGGTGTGTTGTGAGGGTAAGGTCAGGCCATCCCTTACCATTTATTGTTTCAAATGTAGGGATATCATCTGGCTTGTTGTGTAGGATTAAGTTCTTGGCATTGATGAAATCTTCCATTTGCACGTCCTCTTGGTGCGGTATAATTGTATCCCCACAGTATATTTTGAGCATTGAAGTCACCGCCTATTACGTGGGGTGTGTGAGATAAGTGGAGATTGTGGCTGAGGTCTTGTAAAGTGCTCTCGAGGTCTTCTGTAGGGGGGATGTAAGCGCTTGTAAGTAAAAGTTGTTCTTCTTTGGTGTTGATGCTGAGTGTGATTATGTCTCTCTTGGCCGTTGATGATGGGTGACCAGGTCTTGTTGATAACATATATGGCGACTCTTGGGTATAGATCTTGTTCTGGGTTCTGTTGGATGAATATATTCCAAGTGGTGGGCAGGTGTCTTGGACTACCTTTGTGACAGTATGGTTCTTGGACCAGTATGACATCATGGTATTGTTCTGTGATAAATTGTACTAAGTTGTCAGTGGCTGTCTTGGACTTTTGTAGATTAATTTGGAGTATCTTGATGCTGTCCGTGGAAGTGATGCTGATTGGTGTTGCTGCAGGGTGGAGAGATTGGAGAGTTGCGTTGCTGTAGTGACTACTCATGATATTGCGTTCTTGCTCTGATACGGGATGTCTCTTTGTATGATTGGCAGGTGTGGCAAAGTGGACGAGAATAGAGGTGGCAGCTTGTGCTCGCTGCAGGTTAATTTGCAATAGTTTTATGTGATCTTTGTGGGGGTTCTCTGTGACTGTTGTGTTGTTCGCTGGTGGTCTTGGTAGCACGTTGTCTTCTGCTTCTGTTGAGTGGGCATTTAAGAGTGTTGCATTACTCATAGATGGTGCTGCGTCTAATTCGTTGGACGTATTTTGCGTATATGGGACAGTTGACGTCGTAGGCCGCATGGTTGCAGGCTGTTGAGTCTTTTGTTCTGTAATTGCTGTCTGCGCAGTTAATACATGTGGGGCGTTGTGCTGTACAGTCCTTGATGTGGTGATCGCCGGTGCAGTAGGCGCAGTAGAGCTTGTTTTGACAGAGCTGCTGTGTATGGCCGAAGGCCTGGCATCTGAAGCATCGGATGGTATTGTAGTATTCCGTGAGTCTGTGGCTTCTCCAGCCCATGTACAACTTACGTGTTTCTGAGATTTTTTTGAAGGCATTTGGTGAGCATTCCATGATCCATTTGACGCCATATTGCCGTTCCTTAAGGCGATACTGGACGTTGATTTCCGAGATGTGAAGGTGGAACTCTGTTCCACCTTCACATCTCAGGAAGCAATGCGTCCTCTACTTCCTCTTTTTGTCACTTCTGGTGGGATGTTATGAAGTGCTACTTTTGGCTTCCTTGTCTGTGGAAGTTTGGTTTGTACAAAGTCCCGTCCTCTTGAGCCTTGCCCCTCAGGGGGCTCACTTCTGTGAGTACGGGTGTGGCAATCCCGAGGTACCCTAGCCCTTCAGGGGATCATCTTGGTGAGACGGGTGTCACGATCCTGGAGCCCCAGTGATCTTTCCTCTTTTCCGTCTCCTCTCCTCTTTGCTGGAACTTTTCCACTTCTCTTCTTCCTCGTGGTTTCTCTCTACGGAGTTTGGGGCTCGTCACAAGAGACTGGAACAGACCTTGTCTCTAGTTCTCGAGTGGCGAGAAAACTGCCCACGTGTTTGCCGTGCGTGGAGACCCGTGTCGCTGGAAAGGAGGGTCCTGGTAGTTGAGGGGCGAGGTACTGTCCCCAACACACTACTTTGGCCTCTGCTTCAGCTAAACGGGAGGCACCTTAGTCGACCTCACGGGTGTCAATCGGCTGGTCACTAGTCCTTGTGTCAGTGGCTTGGGGTCAAGCTCTCGGGAGTACCTGCTTTCGGAAAAGCCGACTGTGGGGCTTCAGTTTGCGTATAGGTCCGGCTAGCCCTAACACAGGAATCTGTGTTCCCTTGTTGGGCTCCGTGGTGGGCGGGGCCGTCGGACCCGAATCTTTTCTATTTTCAATATGGCAAATACACATATTTTTTTATTAAAAAATTCTTGAACCTAGTTCTGAAGCATCTACTACTAAACCAATCATTCAACCTAATTCTGAAACATCTCCTACTAAACCAAACTCACTCAACCTAGTTCTGAAACATCTACTAATAAACCAATCATTTAACCTAGTTCTGAAACGTCTCCTACTAAACCAGTCACTCAACCTGTCGCTCAACCTAGTTCTGAAAATTCTGCAAAAAATTACGGACAGATGCAAATAAAAAAAAATCATAACAATAGTCCCCGTTTCCTAGTAATCTCTAGTCCTTCTGGCGAAATGCATAAGATGTCTCCTTTCGTAATAAACAAATACATCCAGTCTTGTATTGGTGAGCCGAGAAATATAAAGCGTCTCCGCTCCGGAGACTTGCTTATTGATACAAACTCAGCCACCCAGTCTGCTTCTTTACTTCAGATAACTAAACTTGGGCAAGCGAATGTCACTGTAACACCACATAAGTCACTCAACTATTGTCGGGGTGTAATCTCAGAATTCGACCTTCTTTATGTTTCTGAAGAAGAGATCGTTTCTGAGCTATCCGACCAAAATGTCTGCGGTGCAAGGCGGATCAAGATGCGTAAAGAAGGTAAGTTGATAGACACGAAACACGTGATCCTTACCTTCAACACGCCTGATCTGCCTAAGAATATTAAGGCCGGATATCTAAATATTCCTGTAAGACCTTATATTCCAAACCCTATGCGATGTTTCCAATGCCAGCGTTTCGGCCATTCTAAGACGTCTTGTCGTGGCAGCCTCACATGCGCCCGATGCTCACAGATTGGCCACGATTCTGATAATTGTACCGCTGCGCCTTTGCGTGTATAAATTGCAAGGGTGAACCACCCAGCATTTTCTCGCTTGTG